TGTGTGTGTGTGTGTGTGTGTGTGTGTGTGTGTGTGTGTGTGTGTGTGTGTGTGTGTGTGTGTGTGTGTGTGTGTGTGTGTGTGTGTGTGTGTGTGTGTGTGTGTGTGTGTGTGTGTGTGTGTGTTGTGTGTGTGTGTGTGTGTGTGTGTGTGTGTGTGTGTGTGTGTGTGTGTGTGTGTGTGTGTGTGTGTGTGTGTGTGTGTGTGTGTGTGTGTGTGTGTGTGTGTGTGTGTGTGTGTGTGTGTGTGTGTGTGTGTGTGGTGTGTGTGTGTGTGTGTGTGTGTGTGTGTGTGTGTGTGTGTGTGTGTGTGTGTGTGTGTGTGTGTGTGTGTGTGTGTGTGTGTGTGTGTGTGTGTGTGTGTGTGTGTGTGTGTGTGTGTGTGTGTGTGTGTGTGTGTGTGTGTGTGTGTGTGTGTGTGTGTGTGTGTGTGTGTGTGTGTGTGTGTGTGTGTGTGTGTGTGTGTGTGTGTGTGTGTGTGTGTGTGTGTGTGTGTGTGTGTGTGTGTGTGTGTGTGTGTGTGTGTGTGTGTGTGTGTGTGTGTGTGTGTGTGTGTGTGTGTGTGTGTGTGTGTGTGTGTGTGTGTGTGTGTGTGTGTGTGTGGTGTGTGTGTGTGTGTGTGTGTGTGTGTGTGTGTGTGTGTGTGTGTGTGTGTGTGTGTGTGTGTGTGTGTGTGTGTGTGTGTGTGTGTGTGTGTGTGTGTGTGTGTGTGTGTGTGTGTGTGTGTGTGTGTGTGTGTGTGTGTGTGTGTGTGTGTGTGTGTGTGTGTGTGTGTGTGTGTGTGTGTGTGTGTGTGTGTGTGTGTGTGTGTGTGTGTGTGTGTGTGTGTGTGTGTGTGTGTGTGTGTGTGTGTGTGTGTGTGTGTGTGTGTGTGTGTGTGTGTGTGTGTGTGTGTGTGTGTGTGTGTGTGTGTGTGTGTGTGTGTGTGTGTGTGTGTGTGTGTGTGTGTGTGTGTGTGTGTGTGTGTGTGTGTGTGTGTGTGTGTGTGTGTGTGTGTGTGTGTGTGTGTGTGTGTGTGTGTGTGTGTGTGTGTGTGTGTGTGTGTGTGTGTGTGTGTGTGTGTGTGTGTGTGTGTGTGTGTGTGTGTGTGTGTGTGTGTGTGTGTGTGTGTGTGTGTGTGTGTGTGTGTGTGTGTGTGTGTGTGTGTGTGTGTGTGTGTGTGTGTGTGTGTGTGTGTGTGTGTGTGTGTGTGTGTGTGTGTGTGTGTGTGTGTGTGTGTGGTGTGTGGTGTGTGTGTGTGTGTGTGTGTGTGTGTGTGTGTGTGTGTGTGTGTGTGTGTGTGTGTGTGTGTGTGTGTGTGTGTGTGTGTGTGTGTGTGTGTGTGTGTGTGTGTGTGTGTGTGTGTGTGTGTGTGTGTGTGTGTGTGTGTGTGTGTGTGTGTGTGTGTGTGTGTGTGTGTGTGTGTGTGTGTGTGTGTGTGTGTGTGTGTGTGTGTGTGTGGTGTGTGTGTGTGTGTGTGTGTGTGTGTGTGGTGTGTGTGTGTGTGTGTGTGTGTGGTGTGTGTGTGTGTGTGTGTGTGTGTGTGTGTGTGTGTGTGTGTGTGTGTGTGTGTGTGTGTGTGTGTGTGTGTGTGTGTGTGTGTGTGTGTGTGTGTGTGTGTGTGTGTGTGTGTGTGTGTGTGTGTGTGTGTGTGTGTGTGTGTGTGTGTGTGTGTGTGTGTGTGTGTGTGTGTGTGTGTGTGTGTGTGTGTGTGTGTGTGTGTGTGTGTGTGTGTGTGTGTGTGTGTGTGTGTGTGTGTGTGTGGTGTGTGTGTGTGTGTGTGTGTGTGTGTGTGTGTGTGTGTGTGTGTGTGTGTGTGTGTGTGTGTGTGTGTGTGTGTGTGTGTGTGTGTGTGTGTGTGTGTGTGTGTGTGTGTGTGTGTGTGTGTGTGTGTGTGTGTGTGTGTGTGTGTGTGTGTGTGTGTGTGTGTGTGTGTGTGTGTGTGTGTGTGTGTGTGTGTGTGTGTGTGTGTGTGTGTGTGTGTGTGTGTGACGGAAATTCATAGCTCGAGTCACAGTAACGATAGCGCAGTGGTTCTTACATATGTTATAGGGGGTGGGATGGGGACACAAGTGGTACGTGATAGGAACTGATAACGACTGATAATAGCTGATAAGAGGGGCTAGAAAGCGAGCATCGCCAATTTCGTTTTGTCGTTCATATTGGTACTAGAGCGTCTATACTTACAAGTGTTATGTGGGGTGGTCCCGGGACATTGGTGGTACATGAATGGAAGCGATAGCAACTGATAAGGGCTGATAAGATGCGTTAGAACGCAAAAGTCGTCGATTCCGTTGCCTGGCTCGCGTTGACACCAGAGCAACCATACTTACAAGTGTTATGTGGGTGGGACGGGGACATTGTTGGTGGGTGCCAGAAACTGATAACGATTGATAAGGGCCGATAAGGCGCGCCAGAACGCTGAAGTCGTCGATTCCGTTGCCTGGCTCGCGTTGACACCAGAGCAACCATACTTACAAGTGTTATGTGGGGTGGGACGGGGACATTGTTGGTGGGTGCCAGAAACTGATAACGATTGATAAGGGCCGATAAGGCGCGCCAGAACGCTGAAGTCGTCGATTCCGTTGCCTGGCTCGCGTTGACACCAGAGCAACCATACTTACAAGTGTTATGTGGGGTGGGACGGGGACATTGTTGGTGGGTGCCAGAAACTGATAACGATTGATAAGGGCCGATAAGGCGCGCCAGAACGCTGAAGTCGTCGATTCCGTTGCCTGGCTCGCGTTGACACCAGAGCAACCATACTTACAAGTGTTATGTGGGGTGGGACGGGGACATTGTTGGTGGGTGCCAGAAACTGATAACGATTGATAAGGGCCGATAAGGCGCGCCAGAACGCTGAAGTCGTCGATTCCGTTGCCTGGCTCGCGTTGACACCAGAGCAACCATACTTACAAGTGTTATGTGGGGTGGGACGGGGACATTGTTTGGGGTGCCAGGACTGATAACGATTGATAAGGGCCGATAAGGCGCGCCAGAACGCTGAAGTCGTCGATTCCGTTGCCTGGCTCGCGTTGACACCAGAGCAACCATACTTACAAGTGTTATGTGGGGTGGGACGGGGACATTGTTGGTGGGTGCCAGAAACTGATAACGATTGATAAGGGCCGATAAGGCGCGCCAGAACGCTGAAGTCGTCGATTCCGTTGCCTGGCTCGCGTTGACACCAGAGCAACCATACTTACAAGTGTTATGTGGGGTGGGACGGGGACATTGTTGGTGGGTACCAGGATCTGATAACGATTGATAAGGGCCGATAAGGCGCGCCAGAACGCTGAAGTCGTCAATTCCATTACCTGGCGGCGGGTATATGTTTTTACCAGAACAGATCATACTACTAAATGCTCTATGTTTGGTAGGTGGGACGGGGACATTGTTGGTGGGTGCCAGAAACTGATAACGATTGATAAGGGCCGATAAGGCGCGCCAGAACGCTGAAGTCGTCGATTCCGTTGCCTGGCTCGCGTTGACACCAGAGCAACCATACTTACAAGTGTTATGTGGGGTGGGACGGGGACATTGTTGGTGGGTGCCAGAAACTGATAACGATTGATAAGGGCCGATAAGGCGCGCCAGAACGCTGAAGTCGTCGATTCCGTTGCCTGGCTCGCGTTGACACCAGAGCAACCATACTTACAAGTGTTATGTGGGGTGGGACGGGGACATTGTTGGTGGGTGCCAGAAACTGATAACGATTGATAAGGGCCGATAAGGCGCGCCAGAACGCTGAAGTCGTCGATTCCGTTACCTGGCTCGCGTTGACACCAGAGCAACCATACTTACAAGTGTTATGTGGGGTGGGACGGGGACATTGTTGGTGGGTACCAGGATCTGATAACGATTGATAAGGCGCCGATAAGGTACGCCAGAACGCTGAAGTCGTCAATTCCATTACGCAGCGTTGACACTAGAGCGTTCCTATTTACAAATTGTAGTACGTGCACATTGTTTTGATATAACCAGATTACTTAATAGAATTCGACTGCATAAACCTAAGCAAGACTCTTCAGCAAATGATAAGTTTCATTTCTGATGCACTATTAGAAAAAACAAACTCATTAAACCGCTAATTCATTCGGGGTTCTAAATAATGGTGAATGTAAATGAATGATAAGCATTAGCTCCTCACTTATGTAAATAGGCATATTTCGTTTTGATTTTGAGACTGACAGCAATCCTATTCACCGCTAAATTATCTTAATTCAAGAAAAATGCTGGATGTTTACAGAGTTACGATCAATATACCAGTTTAGCTCCAGACGTTATCACGCGTATTCTCGATGAGCTTCAGCGAAACACAGCCAGTAGTGAGATGGTTAATGGAGTATCTCATGCTGATAATCCATGGGTTCTCCAGTTTCGCTAAAGCCTGCCGTGTGATGCGCGCGATAGCGGGCGAAGCAAAACTGGTAACAATAATCGAGTAAACGCTAAGCTTCAAATGGCTTATAGTAATGTCAGCCTCATTCACTTTATTTTCTGTCCCTTTATTTCAGCTCACAAACTTGCATTATAAACTTCTGGTATAAAGACTGTAACTTCCCTCTTTACAGGGCCAATTCCTGGTGGTGTTTTGATGTACGTTAGTCGGAGTATATTTGAAGCTTTTTGCGCTATTTATGGGAACACAACCACAGCACTCTCCCCATCATCCATCCCGAGTTACACACTCGCTCATCTCCTCAATTGCAGAAGTGCATTTCCCATTTACACTATAAGCATATCATCCCTCGCACTTGCCTTTAGCAAACTGGCTCTCAATCCACTCGGAGGGGGCATGTAGCGCGCACACACATAACCGATAGCAGCAAATTCCAGATTCTTGGCCAAGGATCCTGGGGTCCGTGGACTATTTAGCACCTTTCGCCTCTCACACTCTCACCCCCCCCCCGGAGCTTCGCCACTTTCGACAGAAGCTCACAACCCCCCTACCCTTCACGCGGTACAAGCTGTCGCATCACATGCCCCTCCCCCCCTTACCGAATGAGACCAAAAAATAGTATGAATTTATTCAGGTTATTTTTAGATTTGAAACCTAACAATATACTTGTGAATTCGGCTGGTTACGTTAAACTATCAGACTTTGGTCTATCACGGATGTCGGACCCCTCCCATCAATCGCACTCTACGTTGGCAGCCACCATCTACATGCCGCCTGAACGATTCGTGGTGGCGTTTACAGGTTTCACGTTACCTTAGACCGCTTCTACACCTGGCCAGAGAAAACAGTCAGTGTTGGTTGCTCGATGCGGAGAGGAGAATGAAACTGCTTTCAACGAAAGCTGCTCTCCGGCCAACTTTTACAGCTGTGATTAATCCAAGGAAAAAGGGAGCGGTCAACAGAATCGTCCGGGAGTGGCGCGTCGTGCGCAGTTGGCTTGGGCGACGAGAATCGTTAAGCGAGCAAGTTTTTCCATGGGCGCGACAACAATTGATGTCGCTGAGAGCGATGATTTACTGCAGTCCCCTAAATAAAGTATCATCGCCGAGTCCATTCTTGCTGATGAGTGCAGATCATTTTTTCCATAACACCCTCCGCGCTCATGATTGCCGGAGCTCAGTTTTGAGGTTAAACTCTTACGAGTTTTAGAGGAGAAGAGGGTTCCGGAGTGCGTGAGCAGTTACTCCTTTTGTCCGCAATATCGACAGTCCTCTCCGAAAGCTAATCTATTCCATGTTTCACAACGCGAAAGATTCCGAGAAATTACCTGAAAAATTGGTCGCCTAAGGAAGACGAGTTTTTTCTCGGTGATTTCTGACTTGCGCTGGGGTTTTTCCTACGAGTAAATCACATCGCGCCGCACCCACACCCCCCGCTCCCGAACAGAAACCAGAAATTAGAATAAACAGAAACTAGCGGACGGAATTTCCTTTCCGCATTATACTGGTAACAAAAATCCGCCCTAGGGGCATTAGTATTAACACATTGACGACAAGGCGGGGGATATATGTCCCGCGCATTGCAGGCCGTGTCGGACCGTGCGTAGATATACAGGGGGGGGGGGCAAAAAAAAGAGTCACTTTGCCCATGGCGCATATCATCAAACTTTTCGTCGCAAAGGATGCCGCTGTTATTGGGAGTTATACGGCGAATTATTCCTTAGATGTCCCCCATAAGCAGAATCAGGCCCACCTTCGCTGCTTTCACCGTCTCCAGAATATGACGTCATCTGTCATCACCGTCGAGCTCAAGGAGCTAGCCTACAATTCGCTCCATTCTGAAGCTGCTACATGAGTTCTTTGTATTGATACTGTGAATGACTACTTAGGGAATAGTGAGTACGCGAACTCAACTCTCTTTGACCAGCGTTTCAGAGACGTCGTAATCGTCTATGGTTTCTCGACGACCTCGTTGAGCTCGTACCGCGAACCATGTTTCCGTGGGAAAATCTTCTGATGTCGTCGGTGTAGAAAGCCCCTATGATTTTTTGATAGAATAGAATGTGCTCTTCAATATGCAATTGAGCTCATTCGGTTTGGTTCCGGCAAAGTTTAATTAATTCTGTTTTGAATGTGAGTCAGAGTGACTCTTTTTTTTTGCCCCCCCCCTGTATATCCCCGAGACTGTGCTCTCTTATTTTTTCGCGCGAGGATGCCTGACTTCTTTAGAAAGTTTCTTGTAGTATTAGGTTGTCTCATAAATAGTGTCGCTTTTTTTCAACCAAAAAATTTTCATCCAAATCCTCATGCTTTTACATCGAGTCATATACCATTCGAAAGAGAATTGTCTGCTCTACAAAATATCGTGTTCTTCTTCCATCTATGTTCAATGGTTTTCAAATTTGAGGCATGCGAAATGGGAGGTCCCGCCGACAAAAATTGACCAAACCGACAACTAGCTCTAACTTTATGTTCCCTTCGGAGAAATCAATCAATGATGTACCCTCTACTTACTCATGACCTCTTCTGAACATTCCACCCTTAGGTTGCCGAAAAAGGTTTGCCCTGTTTCTTTTCGAATTGGCCGACCGATAAGCCATGGCAATTTTCAAATTGAAATTCTTCCTCTGAAACGCTATTGTTTTATATCAACTGGTGTATCTTTTGTGAGCACTTCTTCTGCTCTATTCGCTCATTTGTTTTGTTTTGATGTTTGTTAGGAATTAGCTCGAATTTTAGGGTTTAGGAGTAAGGTGCTTTGTCCACAAAAGTGACCGCATTTCTTTGAAAGAAATTATCCTTGAGGAGATGAGAAAACCAACCAGGCGTACATTCCTAACTTAGTCACGACTTGTTCTTGAAATTCTACTAGTTTTTCAATGTCTCGGCTGTAAAAAAATTTCGACCTCGATCTCAGGTAATGGTGCTCAACCGTCGAGTTCTGGTTGAAAAACCGGGTCTGGAAATGGAATGATGCGACTTGTTGGGAAACCTAATAGTGTAATGTTTAGAAGAGGTCATGCATAAGTAGAGGGTACATCATTGATTGATTTCTCCGAAGGGAACATAAAGTTAGAGCTAGTTGTCGGTTTGGTCAATTTTTGTCGGCGGACCTCCCATTTCGCATGCCTCAAATTTGAAAACCATTGAACATAGATGGAAGAAGAACACGATATTTTGTAGAGCAGACAATTCTCTTTCGAATGGTATATAACTCTCTGTAAAAGCATGGGGATTTAGATCAAAATTTTCTGGTTGAAAAAAAGCGACACTATTTATGAGACAACCTAATATTCCATGAAGAGACCTTGACGTAGCTACAAACACAGTGACCCTTAGAGTGGTTACGTATGCTTCAATTTAGAGGAGGATTTCCGGCCATACGAAGTCTTCAGCTTAATAAATCCTTCGATTACTTTTTCTTTTAATGAATGTGAAGATTTAAATAGTAAACATAAGTAAATACAGGACCTTAGGGATGACAGCATGTGTGTTTTGATTGAAATAATCAACTAAAATTGCTTTTGAGGTCCATTGCAGCTAGTTCTGGCAAATTATTTCTTTTTCATTATTTATTACGCAAACTTTCCCTTTTTCATTGTTATTCCACGTCTTTCGATCGAAATTCCACTACTGGACCCCGATTAGGTTGTGCTCATTACAATTTAGTGATTTGGTCTTGTATTGATCACTATTTATGTAGTTATCACTTTAAAATCTGCTTGAACGACCTGAGGCGGTTGCGCCGGCAAAAGCGCCCCGGTCCCACGTGGCCAAAAATGCCAAAACTCGCATTGTCGTCAATGTGTTACAGGATGGGTCGAATCTATTCCTGTTTCACAACGGAAGAGTTCGAGAAATTACCTGGAAAAAACTTTGTCGACCTAAGGAAGGAGTTTTCTGGGTGAATTCTGACTTTGCTGGGGTTTTTCTACGCAGTAAACACATCAGCAAAGTCAGAATTCAGACCAGAAAATCAGAATAAACAGAAAACTGGAACGGAACAATTCATTTCCGCATTATATGGAAACGGGAAAAGGAAAAAGGTCTACTGGAACCGAAATCACCCATGCATTGATTGAGATGTTAAAGGGAGGAGTCGACTAAGCGTCCCTTAACATTCACTATTGAATGACGCTCACAGAAACTCGTCGCAGTGGTCGTGGTCGCGGCGGTCCGTGACCACGACCACTAGTGCGGCTCTTCGGACGATTCTGTTGACACGCACCCCAAGAAAAAGCATTTGGCCAGGTTCAGTTCGAGTGCACTACAGGGCAACCGGCTGCCTCTCCAGGTGTAGAGGTTGGATAAACAATGTAAAGATCTGTTATATAGTAAGCCTGTTCACGAATTGCTTAAGGATTGAGTCCGACATATGGAGCTTCGGGCTTTCTTTGTGGGAACTTGCTGTAGGACATTATCCACTACAAACACCTAAAGATGCTCTACTTACAACATTTTTCAACTCTGGCAGTGATCGTCAACCGTATGCTGAACATATTGCAGGACATCCACAAATGCTTTGCGTACTGATTAATGGATGGTAATTTTTTCCTCCCATATTTCTGTAATTTTGCTTTAGTTAACACGTTGACGACAGGCTGACGCGCATGCGCGTCAGAATTTGCACCGCATCGGACATTCTGACGCGCATGCGCGTCAGAACTATGTCATTCATTTTTATTGTGCTTGCGCTCCTTCTTCTCGAGTTTTTTGTATTCATTCTATAGATAAATACATTAGCATAACTATAAACCACATGGCAGCCAGAGTGGTCAAATATCCCTTGATTTAGCAAAGATTTTCTAAACTTAAAACTCAAGTTATACGAATTTAAACAGATAAGCGGAAGTACAGTCGATATCTCGAAGTCTGATTGGGCGTGTCACCGGAAATGACGTGGCAGCCACCGCACTTGATAGATGTTGTGTGGATAAAATACTCCGCCAGATATCAGCAAAGCGTGTTGGAAGCAGCTTATCCGCGCAACTTCTATCAAGTGCGGTGGCTGCCACGTCATTTCCGGTGACACGCCCAATCAGACTTCGAGATACCGACTGTAAGGTGAGGACGGCGCGCTCGCAAAATCGCTCCTTTCCCACGCGATGCAGAATGCCAAATCACGCGATATGGTCAACGTGTTAATATCCGCAATATTCTCATTTGTATGTTGCGAAGGTGTTACAGTTTTAAATGGCATCGCGCCAGGGGGAGGGGCATAAGATTTCTGACGAATTCCGTCTAAGCCGGCTGAGCATTCCATCGCTTCGGTTTCTCGGCCAGTTGTTGCCAGACTTGTATTGGAGGGAGGCTGACTTGTACAACGGTTCCGTCGTTAATCCTTATATAGGACAACACAAAAATCCAGCTGCGATTTGAATCGGAAACTAGACCGTGTGTGACCGCTCTCAAGGTGATTCATCAACGTCGAATACTTGATGTTATCAGAGAACGAGGCGAGGTTGTGGCTGTAGGCACCTTTTCGCAATTCTGCGGCATCGCACCGGGAATAAACCTACAGTTTCCGTTCTTCAGGAAACCGGAACTACCTATAAACTGTTACACTTCGTTATTCCTCCTCAACACCTTCTTCGGTTTACCTTGTTCGAATTTGACTATTTTACTTCCTCTCTTGAACCACCTTAGCCTGGAAGGACATAAAATTTTGAGTGAACATAACCTGACTCTGCTGACTCTCTAGAGTATTCATTTGGAAACATTTAGGCCGATGTCATAGTTTGCGAATCGAGCGATTCGCTAGCGAATCGCTCGATCCGAGCGTTGCGCCAGCGAATCGAACGTTGCACCAGCGAATCGAACTTTGCGCCAGCGAGTCGAAGCGATGTACCAGCGACTCAATAGTGAAAAAAAAAACCAAAAAACCCAACCCAACTACGAAAAGAAGTCCGCCACTTTCAAACAGCGTCCACTGTCACGTGACACTGTTTGAAAGTAGCGGGCTTCCTTTGAACGTTGGGTCCCGCCACTATTGAGTCGCTGGTACATCGTTCGACTCGCTGGTACATCGTTCGATTCGCTGGCGCAAAGTTCGATTCGCTGGTGCAACGATTCGATTCGCTGACGCAACGCGCGGATTCCAGCTATTCGATGTCAGACTTTGCGAATCGCGCGATTCGCTAGCGTCCGCGGTCGCGTTGCGGTACCAGCCAATTGAGTGATTCACTGGCCGCGACGCGACCGCAGACGCTAGCGAATCGCGCGATTCGCAAAGTCTGACATCGGCCGAAGCATTTTCGCAGTTCTCTATGGGGGGAGCATCTTTAAGGGAATGACCATCAACTAGCGCTGCGTTGTCCACTTTTTCCCGGAAGCCTATTTTTCCATTTCATGTAGGTTGCTTCTGCGTATTCTGAGCCAGTCCTATGAATGGGAATTTTTTCAGTCTTCAACATGATGTGAAACTCCGATGGAAAGTGACTGATTTGATTCAATCCGACTACATATCGGAGGCGTATCCGATCAACCACAACGCTATAAAAGAGTTCGTCATAAGAATTAGGAATACATGATATGGACTATTACTACATATGGATTTATTGTACGTGATAGAATCTACGGGTAGTCTTTCTCCTGCGTACATATGCTATTTACGTTGTGTATCTCGTTATTGGTTGCTGCCGACTTTTCACTCCCAACTTCCATTTTTCAATTATTGCTTTCACCATGTTTACATATTAGGAAAATATTATAACATGGATTTTTTATTAAAATGAATATTTTGTCCAAATGATGTGGATCTAGACAAGGGTTAGGCTTCACGAAGATATCGCAAAATTTTCATATCCTTCCATGTTATGAAGCGCTAACTTTGTGTGTCCGGTTTGTATGTCTGTATGTCTGTGTGTCCGTCCGCAAAATGAAAATGAAGTGAGTGGTTGGTTGAAAGGATGGAATAAAAAAGCCGATAACAGAAAAGGGGAAGCTCGCAGGCCTTGCGCTATCAATGTTTTGCTAGAGCATGATTGTGATAACCCAGAACGGCTATATAAACACCTACTGGGTACACTCGGCCATTTCCACAAGGTGCTGCAGTGACAGCCGGAGCAGCAGTGGAGGGAGGAGGGAGGATGAGGAATGGGGAGAAGGAATGCCAGGATTCGCAGGGAAGAATTTTCGCGGTTCCAGGACCAATCCGGTCCATGATAAGTTGTGTGCCCCCCCCCCCACACTCTGATTTGCATCCTCCTGGTCGAGCTCAATGAAGAAACCCCCCAAAATTAATTCTCAAATTTTTCGCCGAAAGGAGAAGCTGGATCCCTTCCCTAGGAGATGGTTTCCTTACACTCAGTTCATGTTTATATCCGCAAATACGAGCCTTACCATCTCCTCAAGGGGAGGGTTACCACGGGGCCTCCTCGGGGTGGGAAAGCGCGCTGCAATGTAGTAAGCGCGCTCCAATACGAAAATATTAGCTTTACCTATTTTATCTACTAGCCTGAATTGATCTCTAGAAAAAGACTTCTCGCAGATGAGGAATGTCATCTTGGCAAAGGCTTCTAGCACTGCTAATTCGACAGCAGACTGCTTGAAAGGTACGATTTAAGAGTTTAAAGTTACGTTGTTAATGATGAACAACTAAAACCCGATTATAACAGCTTCATGAGTAACCACGTAATCGAAGTGGGGGTTCAGTAGCAGCGTTTTACGTCATGACTGTTGACTTATGTGGAAATTAGTTGCATTGGTGCTCTGAACCGTGCCAGCTTTTGGGTGTCTGGTATTCCCATTATCTTAGTGAACCCTTTTTTGAAAATGTCATTGCTCTCTTTGAATGAAAAACCGTGGTTTTTTTCCAGGATGTGAGCTGTTCGTCGAAGATAATGTTTCCAATATAGTTTATTTCGTTAACCAAGATAATGTCATTTCGCTGGACTCTGAGATGTTGGTAGGTCTGAAGCAATCGGTTTTCTAGCGTTCATGCATAAGTAACACAATCGTCATGCATCTTTATGGCATATATTGCAGTTAAAAGACGTTGTCCAGTGGAATGACCAGTTTGACTCCACTCCTGTCAAATTAGATCTCCTACAAGACTCAAATGAGCTGTGCATAATATTAGCCAATGGACAAGTAGTCACAATGGATATCGAATCTCATGCGGTTAGTCAGCCGTTCTACAGTTGTGCTGAATTTAACGTCACTATTTTTGGGAAATCTGTTCAGTGAAGCACTCGTAAAGCAATGGCCCAAACTTAAGAACTTCTTGGAAGGAAAACCGATACAGTACTGGAATTTTCCGTTGAATTTTCGAACTTTATCAACACAGTGACGGCCCTGAGACACGGTTGCGCGTCTCACCCTTGTCATCCCATTTTTAGCTTATGCGCGCTTCTTCCCAGATTTTTGTATCTATTCTGTGGGCTATAAATCATGCTAACCATAAACGACATGGTTCTCCGTGCATGCTTCAGTTCAGCAGAGATTTTCTAAGCGTTAACGCTTGGTATCTTGACCAGATTAGTCCCCCGTCAACCGCCGGGACCTTCCTTTCCTGCGCAAGCTTTCTATCCTCCGCTATGGTCCCTTCCTCCTGTGACACCAACACCTCGTGGAAGTGACGCGTATGCAACACAATGGTGTTTCATACAGTAGAAGGGACACAATCATGATATGACGGTAGATTTTTCGCTTCCCTTCCTCATCCTCCCTTCCTCTCTCCACTGCCCTCCAGCTGCCACTGCAGCACCATGTGGAATGAACGGAAGTGTGCTAAGCAGGTGTTTATATAGCCCTAAGAGTGTTATCACAACTATCCTGCTACAAAACATTGATATCTCAAATCCTGTAAGCTACCCGATTTGTTAGCGGTTTGTTTATCCCATGAGCTTCCTTCTCACTCACTTCATTTTGCGGACGGACACACATACATACACACACACACACACACACACACACATACAGATACACAAACCGACACACAAAGTTAGCGCTTTATAAAATAGAAGGATTCCTCGCTTTTCCCTTATTGTCTTAATTGTGTGAATGTAAACGAGGTCGTAGGAGTAAATGCAAACCTATACAGATAGCAAAATGTATGTTGTTTCTTTCACAACCCCATCAAAATACATTATAGAGGCTATTGAAGAGAAGAGTATTATTTTTTCCTTTTCATCACCATACGACATATTTGATCGGAACCCACCATTCTACCATTGATTGACTTACACATTGATTACTGCTCAGGTTCTGTTACCGCTCAAAATTGACGAGTTTGAGGTGAGGCGGCCGCGCTCGCAAAATTGCATTTGTCCTACATACGCGGCCAGAAAAGCCGAAGAGCTCCCTATCGACAATGTGTTAATAACTCAAGATAAACCGGTGTTTATCATGTCATGTTTTGTTTTTCGCACGTTTAGTAGAATTCTTTTTCATTCTAAAACATTTTTTTCTTCAAGATGAAGCTAACCATATTTAGATATGCAGTGCGTGTTTTCTGGGAGAAGAGTGCTCAGCGGCATCTTGGAGCCCGGATCAAGCTTTTCTGGCTGCTGTTGAGGGGGATAGAATCGTCTTCTACGACAGATGTTTCGAAATAATTGGAGATTGGTCAGTATTAAACAGATTTCGTTGGGCGCTAATCTTGTACAGATATAATGAGCGGGAAATTTTTATTAAAATCATTCATGAATTTGTCTGTTCAAGTCCACGAAAAAACGAAGTTTTTCGATCCATTTGCTTACAATGCTGTCTCCATTGACATGAACGGAAGCAGCACGGGCACCTCTGAAAAGGGAATTTTTTAGTCATTGATTCTAGTCAAAACTCTGCATAAATCGGAATTAGGATTTGCTATTCAAATTTTGACCTCGTGGGTGACCAGCTTCCATCGAACACGAATTGAATTAGTTACTACAAAGGCCCAGTAAGTTTAGGGTTGAACTAAATATGTTCAGTCCACATTTATTAATCGGCTCTACGATATGGAGAAAGGGAGAATGGGAAGTGGATAGTTCATTTAGGAGTCTAATTGACTCATGGTCAAGTCCAAGGCATGGGGTAAATGAAGAAGATAGGCAATGCTACGTTCTGTAAGATCGCAGGAGCAGAGGTTTTCATGTTGCAAATGTAAATTCCATCACGGCAGGGTACATCCTTTACCTATGCTTAGGTTGAAGTGGGGAATTTTTTATTTCCAGGAAAATGTCGTGTTCTGAAGCGGGTAAGGACTCGCTCGTCACGGTAGGTTGGGGAGCTGCAGAGACGCAATTCCAAGGCAGTGCTGGCAAGGCATGTTTTTCTAATTTTTTCTCGTTTTTCTTGTTTACTTTGAGTCTGTGACTAGTGAGGACTCATGGCCAGGTACTGCTTAACGTTTTTTTTTGCTAAAGTGGTGGAGCTTGCGTAAGGGGCCATTATTTTTGGAAGTAGGCGGGTCGTGGAATTGAGGTACGCAAGTTTTGTTCTATCCACGATGCTGCGAACTATGAACAATGCCTAACATAGTATGTCGCCAAATAGGAATCATTTTCTGTGTCCGTAAGCGCATGGTGTGTATGTATTATATAATGAAACCAATTATTTGAAACTCAGCTGTACCTTAACAAAGCAAGCGAGCGGGCGATGCCACTTAGGTTCATAAGACTATGAAGTGCCAACGGTCTTTAGCTGTTCCTCCCTTCAATTTGATGTCGAGTCATCTAGTGATTGCTTGGTTTGTTTTGTCTTTTTCATACTCAGTATCCTTTTTTCAATTGGTTGAACCAGTCTGGTTGCATTCAGTTTGGTTACATGTTTTTTTTTTGAGATCAAGGAGGCGGTCATGCTCAGAGAGATTTATCCTGATATGGAGTTGAATTATTGTTTAGGCTGCTCGCGAGAAAGCTAAGGAAGTTTCCCGTGCTGCACTTCCCAATGACACACATAAACCTCATATACAGTGGCGTGCGGACGGTTTGTATGTAGCTGTGTCGTTTTACGAAGAGCAATCTGGTGAAAGGCGAGTTGCGGTGAGCACATTACATTCGGGTCGCCCTTCCTTGTCATTGAGAGTCACCTGCGCCTCTGAGAATTCGTGAAGAGTTTAAAAACGATGTTCCGAATCGAGTAAACTAAATAGAAAAACCTCAGTGTTCACTGCGTCAACCTTAACATTTCCATCATTAAGCATTATTCTATTTACAGATATTCAATCGTGATGGAGAACTGATGGCCCGGCTGAAAAATACGGAGCCTGTGGAGGAGGTGAGGAGGTGATCGCTTTGCGCCCTACAGGGAACTACATTGCCACAACTAAACAGGCTGCAAGTTCGTGCCACTGATTTTGTTAAGGGCCATTATTGGTCGTCGTCAGCGCTATTACTTATCCACAGCATAATAACGATGATTTCGGGTTTCGTGCTGTAAACCCTCTATCTAACGATGGCGCATTTGTAGAGCCCCTTTCGACTCTTTTCCATTATAACTGTGTGAAAGGCGTTGACTGAGAAAGCAGCTGTTAACGATCGCCCAGAAATTCCGAATGCTAGAAATTGAGGCGTCAGCCTGTTAAAAGGATAAAGGATAAAGCATTTGCCGTTGATCAATCCCTTTTTGGGATGCGGCACGCATTCTACTTCCATTTGTACATTCGTAGTGGCGTTTGAATGCGATGTGGCCTATACAATGACTTGCGGGGGCCAGCCGATGTACAAGTCAGTGTTTTATCCGTCAAATAATTTTCTGTCCCAGACCATACATGGAGATGTAGTTCTACTTCGCAGGAATGCTTAATGAGTATGACGCTAGTTTTCGTCGGTTTAACTACTTTTTCATCAGATCAGTTTAAAATCATGCTCTTTGCGTTTTTTGTTCCGGTCTGTTTTGGTTCCCTTTTAGCTATTTATCGCTGCCGCCTAGCTGATTTGTGTTTCTCGGCTAACCTTCTCGCTGATCCTTCCTTTTTCAAGCTCTCGCATCCCCACTTTACTTTCCACTGTTTCTAAATTTTTATAAGATGTTATAACATTAAGATGGCGCTCGTGCAATGGTCTTTTACGAAAGAAACGGTGAAAAGCGACACGAAGTATTGATGCCGTGTAAAGTCGACCAAAGTCAATTGATAGAAATGCAATGGGATGTTGATTCCTCATGCTTATGTGTTCATTTGCGATCAGGAGACACAGACGAATGTGAGTAAACCTTCATTTTTGCCTAACTAGTGGAAGGAAGGGCTGTATATCAATAGTAATTGTTGAAATGCTCGACCTTCGTCAATTTCTTATGTACATCGAGTATTTTCGATGCATTGGAGTGCATGTGAAATCTATGCAATGTTTAGGAGTATCAAAGCTCTAGTTGTGCTATTTTAAGTAAAATGTAATATTGAACTAATGGTAAGCTAAAAGTGATGAAAAATCATTGCTGGATTAATCCTTGTCATCGTGTTCAGTGGAGGTCTGGACGGTATCGAATTACGACTGGAAACGTCAGTGGACTTCACGATTCCGGCAGAGGATTGTGAGCTGGCAGTGGCACTCTGAGAAGGTTTGTATCGAGTGCTCTTTCATGATTTTCATGCGTTCTGAGTTTTATTTGACCTGCTATCTGGGAATCGTGGATAGGGAAACAGGTGTTGTCTCCTGTCTAACAATAAGTCAGGCTTTCGGTTATATGCTCATTTGCCTGAGAGAAAAAAAAAACTATACAATTCTCAATCTATGAGCTCCTCAACATCTGTAATCTGTTTGGAGATATGGAAATAATTTCCTATACTATTTTACTTATGCGCCATGTTTTGATTTTTTGTTTCAATATTTCAAATACGAGGGAGGGGGGGGGGGCAAAAAAAGAAGACTTTTTGCTTGTGTCACACTTTAGCGATTTGCGGGATTGCCACCGTTGACGGAAGTCTCACGGCAAGGTACTCCTGAAATCCGCTCTATAAGCAGGCGTAAGCTCATTCACCAGTCTTCAGAATATGACATCTGTCATCATCATCGAGCTCAAGGAGGACCTACCGTAACTGCTTCAGCCTGAAGCTTTTACATAATTTCTTCAATCGATTCAACTGTTGGATAGCTTCCCAGAGACATTAGCACTCATTGTGCCGAGACCCTCTTAACAAGCGTTTCGGAGAATGTCGTAATGGTACTCAATCCGGCGAGGTCGACCCGCGCACCATGTTTCCTTGACAGATTTTTCTGTTCTCGAAAGCCACTATGGCTTTTTTTTCTTAATTTAAATGGAATGTGTTCTCCACTTCTAAGTTAGGGGCATTCGGTTTGAGTTTACTGTAATCAAACCCATTCGAATGTGGAGGCAAAATGTTTTTTAATTTTCTCTCTCTCCCCCTCGCTACATCCTAAGATGATATCGGTACTTATACCCTATTCTACTCACCATATCGAACTATATTCTTCATCAGAGTCGGCAGATGAATGTGCTCTTTGAAGATGGCTATTTCTCTCAACTGATTCTTGCCACTGCGCCAACAGTCACCAGAGCTGAGTCTTTGGTCGTTGCCACTGGTGAGTCCCTTACTTCACCGAGATCTGGGGATAACTCTTCCAGTCGTTATGTTGTGGCTTGCAAAGCTTCTCGCCGAATGTTAATTCAAAGGTTTGCAGATGAAGTCCGTTTCACTGATTTCAATAAATTTCCCAATACCTCCACCTCTTTGTGGATTTTCACTCCCATACGGTGGCGGAATTCATATCGTATCCTTTGATGGGTCACGTTTAGCAATTTTGGACGCCGACTTCACACTGAACATCTGTGAGTTTTCGTTTTTCAAATGCTCTTAAAACAATTTCAAATAGGTTTATTACTTCATAAAGTGAACAACGAACAATCGGTTCTTCATTTGTAAGACACAAGTGAGACTAAGGAGTATTGATCCATATATACACATAAAACTTTAAAATAATTACAAAGTTCAAGGTAGATGGCAGCACCCGGCATCATTCACATTATTTTGAGCAGAATACCGAGGGTATTTAAAACAGCACCATCAAGAAGAATAACGAATTCGTAATTGAATCAGGCACCAAACGTGTCAGTAACATGCAAACCACAAGGCCCACAATCTATAATTACAGAAATAATCAAGTAAACATAGTAGCGAGAGGCCGTACTCTTATATTTTATGAGGTGATGAAACGTAGACTAGATCGGTATAGAGGTAGTTGTCATCTTCACATGCAGTTCGATTGTCATCAAGGCAGGCGAGAGAAGCGACAAGGTTCTCCTGACGCGTTGGTGTTAAAGCTTGCCTCTAGGAACGCCATTTTGAACCGTATTCAACCTCAGTTGCTTTCTGGAACGCTTCCAGCAATTCTTGACTGGTTATGGTGCCATAACTATTCATGCTGTCATCGTCATGATACAGAAATGCTGTGTGTTGAGGAAGTTTGCGAGGTGGACGAACTTCAGTAGAGGTCTAACTGGAACAATAACAACGTAACCATTTCGAGAAATATAAAACGTACCTTCACGTCTCTTTTAATTACCTCATCGTATCCAAATTCTTCTCAGCTTGATTCAATATCTGTTCGGCCGAATCCACCAAGGGGGGGGGGGGGGGGGCGGGGGGGGGGGGGGGGGGGGGGGGGTGGGTGGTAGGGAAGGGTCTCAGAATCTTAATTTCAAAAGTAAAAAAGAAATGAAATAAAAAAAACTCCATATAGTTTGCATACCGTACGCAAGCTGCTTAGTATTGGAATGGTGGCTCCTTGTCGTGTTGGCTACTTCTGCCTAAAAATATAGCGATCATTCAACACATTCACAATGGCGCCCGTTTTATTTTCAAGTGGGACAGACGTAATCCTCCCACCACCTCCCACATCACATCCGTGATTTTTGTGTAATTAATGAACAAAAACATATAGAGCACGAAATAATTTTGATAACTATAACGTTAACTGTGTTATACAAAATGAGAGTGGTTATGAACCGTGCAGCACATGGTGAATGATTCTGAGGAGGTCATTGACTGTATGGAAGCTAAAGAAGTATGAGCTTTCAGTGAGACCTCGCAAACTTGGCTCTCTTATCATGCCTTCTAATCAGGGTCAACCCTATCGTTGTTACTTTTTCAAAAAATTTTTACGACCCCCCTCCCCCAAGGTGGATTTGATACGACCCCCTTTTCCACACCTCGACCACCATCATCGTCTCTATAGTATTTAATTCTGATACCACTCAACCCACCAAACTCCGCCCACCCTTTTGTGGTGGTTTCTTCTGTTGTCCGTCCAGGATGCGTCAGCGGGGTGAAGGGGGGGGGGTATGTACACCGACTTAAACGCAAAATTTTTCTTACGCGCCCTCACGCAAGCCAATACCCACGAGGGAAGTGATACGACCCCCCCTCATACAACTATAGTACGACCCCCCAGTTGTTTACTCGTAACTCTCATGGTGGGTTGACCCTGTTTAATGTGCCTACCGGTTTCTAAGAGTTTCATTTTCATGTAGCCCTTCAATATTCCCCTAAACTGTTCTTTTATGTTGATTATACCCCTCAATACCCCTCAATTCCTTACCCTCACCGATGCTTACCACCTTCCCCTCTGGTGGTACCTCCCTGCTGTGTTGCTCCAAGTGAAACATTTTGCGGAAGAATGTCCCGTTCGGTCTTGAATAGATCTATATGGCTTTATTTGCCAATCTGTTAATAGGGTTATTTGCTTTTCTCTAATTAATTTGTTTTACCTAACTATTAATTAGTTGGGTGATTATGTTCGACCCCTTGCTCTACCCTTTAATGGTAGCATGTTTGCATTTATCAGTGTTCGACTTCTTGGCTACTATGGGCAAACTGGCGTTGTACTTATGACCCACCTCACATGGCTGCCCCGGGCGCGAATATTTTAAGTTGAGTCACTCGTTAGCAGGCTCCATAATTGTATTAGATTTTATTTTCAACATTTTTTTAGTTGTTTCGTGGTGGCGAGTCCGATTATCCTCGCTTCAAGTACCAGAAAATGTGGCAATTGCGTAGGATGGATCGTGGCATGAAATCATATGAGGCACTTGACACCGTGAGTCACCTTTTCCGAAGAATGTGTTGAGTGTTCCACGTGGTTATTTTTTCGTTGGCGCAGTGGATACGTGAGTGTTAGTTGAGTCTCTTCGTGAGAAACATTCGCATTAATGCAGTGAGCAGAAAGGGTTGCATCAGGTCACACTCAAAAAGCCTTCATTAAGCTTACAGATCGTGTCCTTATAGTGCACTTCAGGACGGCTGCAACATATTGCTGGATAGTTCAGCACTC